TGTGGCCGGCAGCATTTGTGAGCAGCCGGAAGCTGGCGTGAGATGCCAAGAGCTGCCGAGAGCAGCCGTCCAGAGGCCGGTGACCGATATGCCTCACCCAGGAAGAGCACAATGATAATACCAACGTGGGCCAGTGAAGCAATGTCTAGACTGAAGAACAAAAGGACAGCAACTTCTCTGTTCCCCTTCTCCCGACTCCCCAGCACTGTTCCCCTCCCCTAAATCCCCAATAAAATCTTAAAAAAAAAATCTAACACCTGTGTCAGTTCTGGATCAGTTTCAATTAATTGAGTATTCTTTTCATTATAGGTCATGTTTTCTTCATGCTTGGTAATTTTTTACTGGATGTCAGGCATTGTGATTTTACTTTTGTGGATGTTGGATATTTTGTGTTCCTATAAATCTTCTTGAGCTTTATTCTGAGTAATAATTAAGTTACTTAAAAATAGTTTGATCCTTTTTAGTCTTCATCATTTTTTTAGGATTTGTTAGGCAGGTCCAGGGCAGTTTTCAGTCTAGGGTTAATTATTCCCCGCTACTGAGGCAGGATCTTTCTGAATACTCTACCAAATGGGCCATGAATTATGAAAATTTTTAGTCTGCCTGCTTAGAACAGGCACTATTCCAGGAACAGGCCCTCAGTGAGCACTGGGCACCTTTACCTCTTAATGCTTTTGGATGGTTCTTTCCCAGCACCTGCGTAATTCCTTATCTATACTCTGCTGAGTGCTTAAGGAGGACCCCTCTGTAGATCTCTGGGTTTTTCGCTCCCTGTAGCTCCCTCTTTTCTGATACTCTGTTCTATGAATTCTAGCTGCCTTGTTCTGCCCAGACTCTCAAATCTGTCTCTTCAACTGTGGGAGTCTGCCAGGCTCTGCCTCAGGTTTTTCTTCCTGCAACACAGTCCAAAACTTCTCGAGGCGGAAAGCTGCCGCAGTTGTAGGGTTCATTTAATTTGTTCCCTGTCTTTCCTTTGTTGCCTGATGTCCAGTGTCACTGAAACATATTTTGTTAATTTTTTGGATTGTTTCAGATAGGAAGGTTAATTTGGTCCCTGTTACTCACTCGGATCTTGCTTAGGAGTGGAAGTCCTCCATATTTTGTTTTTATTTTTACTCAAGTCTTTTTAGGCTTATTTTTTTAATGTGGACTAGAGCACAGAGTGGTGAGTACATTTTTTTCTTAGTTTTATAACACACTATGGTCCATTTTGTTATACACCATTTATGTATTTATTCCCTTTAATCCACATTTCCTATTTCCATTCTCTGATCTCATTGGCAACAATTCTAGTTTGAATTATGTATATCCTTTTATTATATGTGAACTTGTAAAATGTATAATTTGTTTTTTGAGAAATTTATTTGCAGTGCACATAACTAATGTTCTGCAGATGAATTTGTTCATTTGTCCTCCAGCAGTGTTTTCACATCATGTTGCTATGTGATAGTTATCTATTAAACTTCTGCTTTCTGCTTGTTCATCTACCATTTACTGTTCCTGCCCACATTTCACTTGAAAACAGGATTGCTAGGTCATAGTTTATGCATGTATATATCCTGCCTCTTCCTATTCAGTACATGTGAAATTATAATCTTAATTCTAGAATTTTAGTTAGAAAATTTATAGTAATTTAGACTTAGCAATTTATTGTAAACTTTTCTGCTTATCACTATTGTTTATTTGTATCATGTTTTCTTTTTAGAATCAGTTTTTTATTTTGATAGACTCCATACTCTAATAATTCTTAAAAATAGTATTTATGGATTGAAATAAATCTGCATTTAGGCATTACTTGATTGCTTTTTTTTTCTAATTAAGAATTTTAGGGTCAAAATTACACTCCCTTAGCACGCAGAAGCCATTGCTCCTTTGTATTCCTATAAGCATTATTGCTGATGTGATTCTGGTTCTTTTCTAGAGCTGTCCAAAATTTTTATTTTCCACCTGTGGTTTAGAAAATTCTGATAGGTTTTTTATTTATTTTAATGTTAACCTAAATCTGTTTTAAGGATAAAGCAGGTGGTTGCTTATAACCACAAGGCATTAAGAACAATTATTCTATTGGTTCTGTTAATTATAACAATTATTAAAGCCATAGATAGCGGGTTAAAAATGATAAGGTTTGAACATCAGGTGAAATTCAGCTTACATTATTAGTCATACTCTGTGTAAATGTATCTCCTACCACAAACAAGTAAACCAGTATTATTGGCTAATTGTAAGAGTTTTTATTATAATTAATAATTATAACTAAGAATATTACAGAGGAGTTCCTTATCAAATTACCAAATTTTATCAGACATTATAAGGCACCCTTGCCTTAACTTGAAAATTATTTATATTTCCAGTATGTATGTTCAAGTCATGTGAATGATATATATCCTGTTTTAGTCATATAGTAATACATATAAGCTATGGATTCATATTTTTCTCCAGTTTGGAATATTACTTACTATTCTTAGAGTATTACCCCCAAATTATTCTCTTCTCTTTTTCTAGAACATTCAGTAGTTGACTATTATCATTTATAGCCCAGCCCCTTTTAACTAAAGATCACACTCTTTTCTTTTGCACTACATTTGAGTTCATTGACTGGATCTTCCAGCTTACCATTTCACTCTATCAGTATTCCTCCGTTCTGCTACTTCCTTAATATTGTGAGCATTTTTGTTTTTACATTTTGACACTTTTTTTTTTAAGATTTTGGGGAATTGGGGGAGGGGAGCAGCATTGGGGAATCGGGAAGAGGAACAGACAAGTTGCTGTCCTTTTGTCCTTCAGTCTAGTTTTGGAGGACATTGCTTCACTGGCCCATGTTGATATTATCATTGCGCTCTTCCCGGGTGAGGCAGATCGGTCACAGGCCACTAGACGGCCGCTCACAGCGGCTCTTGGCAGCTCACACCGGCTGCCAGCTGCTCATGCTGACTGCTGGCCACTCACAGTAGCTTATGGCAGCTCACTGCAGCAGGGGCTGCAGCCTACGCCGTCGCCGGCGACTCATGGCAGCCCAGCTCCAGGTTGAGCTGTTGTTCACCATCTTAGCTGTAGAGGGCAGCGTCACTTGCCCTCATATGTGGGATCCGAACCGGGGGCCTGCTGCTCAGAGCTGGCATCCCAAACCAGCTCTTAACCAGTGCGCCACTCGGCCGACCCTTGACACCATTTTTTTTTTTTTTAAGATTTTTATTGGGTAATTGGGATGGGAACAGTGCTGGGGAATTAGGGGAAGGGGAACAGACAAGTTGCTGTCGTTTTGTTCTTCAATCTAGTTGTGGAGGACGCTGCTTCACTGG